ATGATTCCAGTAGAATATGGTCATGTGAGATTGGTCGGTGGAGCGCTGGCCGTCAGTTGGTGCGCCTCCCGCTACCATGGTAGTTTTACCGTCACTGTAAGCAATGAAAGCGGCGATCCCTCTCGATGGATAACAGTGGCCCCAATGAGATTGAGAACGCGCGGCTTCTGAGAACCTCAATTAATTGGTCAGGGTTGATCTGGTGTCCGGTGTTCACCGGCTACATCCTGATTGAGCTGAGACAGCCCTGCTTCTCGATTCACCCACTTTTGTCGCCACGGATTCCATCTGACTGCGTAACCATTTATGGATGTGTTCGTTGATTCTGACACTTGAACTTCGGTCATTGCGCCCAACGTAGCTGTCTCCACACTTACAGGTGAATCTGTATGAATAATGAGATATACGCTGCTTCATCGTGGATATGTTACTCGATCACACAAACAAGGGTCTTGTCGACGTGAGCAACCGCAGTACTGTCACGTTGTATGACTTTTTCACATTATTTGTACAATGTGGTCACCATTGAAAACTAGCTTGATAGGGGACCGGATTATTTTTTTATCGTTATTGTTCGAACTCGTTCCTTCGTGTCCCCGATGCATTCTGTGATTTGCAACGGATAGCTGTTTTATTTTAACTTGTCAAACCTCTATTGTTGGCAGTCTGTAGACTCGATGAATCAGTTTCCGAACAAACTGATCAAAACTCCGTTCTTTCTGCCTCTTTCGGAGGGAAGATTCTTCCACGTGACTAACTGGCAACCCTTAAGTATGCAGACGACATTGCTCTCATCAGATCTGACTCATCGGTTACCCAAGCACCACTGAATAGACTGACGCGTTGTTTTACACACTTCCATATATCCTTTGCACCTGTGAAGTACATAGTATTGTTGCAGGACTGGACCGATACGACACCGGTTCTAGTTATCACCGATCAGCCACTGGAAGTGATGAGTCGGTTCAATTACCTTGGTAGCTTCGTTACCTCTAGTGGTCACATTACTCAGGTTACTTGGTGTCACCAAAGCCCGAGTGGATTTTGAGAGGCTCAGCTACCTGTGCAGATTATGGGGTATGACCCACTCAGTGAAAAATATGTTGTGCATTTCTGCATTAAGATTACTGTGTTACTGTATGAATCAAAAACCTGGCCAGTTCGCAGCGAGGACATTAAGAGAGTACTTGCGTTTGGCCACCAGTGCCGGCGGAAATACTGGGTGAGCAATGCTGTGGTCCCCTGGTTGGTTGGTTGGTACCTCACTGGAGTATCCGTTATGACTTCCTCCCTTTCACTGGTTAGATCATGTCTCCCGTTTACCAGTTGACAACTTTTTTCGGCGTGCATTATATACTGTTGCTGTATGTAGTTGGGTCAAACCGCGTGATGGCTAGTCGATAGTGTGGTGTAATGGTATAAAGAAAATAACCCAACGGCTTGATCAAGTCTCCATCGGATGGCGTCTCTTGGATGGTTCAGATAAGGGGTTAGAAACTGTCGCATATGGTAAGGAGAAGAAGAAGGCGTCAGCAGTACGCCGACACACCGAATCGGCTTTTCGCTGCTACACATCATTGATCGCGCTTGGGCTAAGTGAACCGCGAAGTCGCCATCACCTATGCGAATTTAAACTGGTGGTTTCCGGTTTATAAGCCGAGCGCGTAATCCTTTCGGCCCCCGGCCAGACATGAAGCAGTAGCGCTGCTCCATTAATTTTTTTACATTTAGCTGCTAACATTCAATCCTAATTGACTGTATTCACTTCTTTACCCTCTTTCCACTTCATCCTGTTGGTTTGGTACGCAAAGCCGGCTCTTAGCCTTAAGGATCACAACCCTGGTCTGTAATCCGAGGGTTCGATTTCGAGTCTTCGTACGGACCGGGTGATCCTCGCAGAATCCTTAACCCACGTGCGACTGGCGGTGGTTGCGCGGCAGAGAAGCGTCAGTTCCGCGTACCGGCCCATTGTTGATGCCTTTCTAGCACACAAGCAAGATCGATCATTAAGCTAGATTTGGACGCACACTGGGTGTCTTTGATGATAATGTGTGCTGCTTACGCGAAACCGGAATCCATAAGACCGACGTGACGATTTAAGTAACCACGATCCGATCGTCTACTGTTCACTTCAATGCGAATCGCGATCCACATTGCAATTGCATGTCGCTATCCGATCACACAACGAGTGTTTCAATATGTTCCCAACTAACAGCCATTAATCATTGTGACAAGCGTTGCTCACATCGACTCCGTGGCTTGTGGGTAGATGCTTTGGCGGACATTCCCTACGTCCCGGCTTGAAATGCCTGTTTTCTCTACCTGATGAGAGAAAGCAATTTAGAAACGGGTATTGAAGTGTCGTGTTTTCGGGTGGGCAACACTCAATATCCATTTAACTGTGTATGACTTTTCCTCTCACCATTGACTGCATGCGTCCGAAACCGCTGGTCATGCGACCGCAGGTTTGGCTTTAGAAGACATCGTCCTTGTATGCATGACAGATCCTTCGTTAGTTGACTGGATTTCCGTTATCGGCTGACTTGTTGTTTCCCGTTCGACAGCATCTGGTGCTGTTTGTTCATGATTGTTCCATATGTCTCAGTTGACTGCATTCTCACTACTGTCGTTGACTTCTGCGGTGAACTTATCACATCACCACGCAGTGCTCCTTGCTCGATTGCACTTCTCGTTGGATGAAGACATGAGTGGTGAGCTCAATGGGCTCAGTACATAGGGCGAACAGAAGTTTGGCGCAACGTTTGCAAATTCTTCCTACCTGACTGCGCTACTGATCCCAAAGTACTAACGGTCAGAAGGACTATAAGGGAGAGCACTACCTCTCTAATTCACTGTAACGAACGCTGTGTACCTTGTTCGGGTCGAGCATGTTCAGAAGCAGTTCGGTTGGCTCCTTGACCGTGGGCTGATCTATGCTCGTTGGTAGGCGAATAGCTTTTGAACCAGATCTGTTTATTCTTCTAATTCCCTGTTAGTAGAGATGTTGCGGTTATGTGGCAGCAAAAAGGCAGCATAACGTTCTGTTAATATACTACTCTTGATGATGCATGATGTTAGCTTCTCTGTTTTCGTGACCACATGCCAAACTAACACTATCTTACTCTCTTCGAAAATGACCAGAGGTCAGGGTAAGCGAACAAATGTTTTCGATGATTAACCTTCAAGCTCATACAGTTATATGCAAATCAAAACATGTGATTAGACACTACAAGTCGTTACTCATCGGGCAATTTAAATTGGAAGAGGAATTTGTCTGTAGTTTTGACGTCAGAACCGAAGCCAATATTCCTACAGCCGCTATACTAAGGCGAAGTTACGATGGAACGTCTAACTTACTGTCTTTCGCATGCACTCAGGCAGACGTTTCTAGAAACAGAAATTCAAACCCATCTCATTGGCACCCCGATGGTTACACGAATCTCAAAGAATAAAGAGCTCGTCCACGTTATGCTAGTGTGTATCTATTCATCCTCCAGTTCCTGTGAAGCAAAATTCTTTGGTCGTACGACAAGGCGTCTATTCGGGAGTGAAGGAACACCACCCAGCCTGGCTTGGAACTGAAATCAGAAAAGCAGCCAACTCCACAACAGCCACCCATCTCTCGGACACGGGGCGTAAGACAAAACCGGCTGACTCGTTCGACATTATCTATCATGCCCCCACCAACCGATCGAAATACGTCCGCAGGTGGATATTAGAAGCCGCTTAAACAATTGCGTTTCGACGGTATAAACCGGAGTCTTGGCTTCAGACGAGGCTCTATCGAGGGTTGGGACTGCCCTGGTTCAGACGGCTGGGGTACTCTGACCCGCGTGGTCATGTTCAGTCAATCCTTGTTACCCGATTGACATTGCTCGTTAGTATCCAATTAATTTGCTTTATGAGTATCGACTTGTGGCGTCTGTCCACATATTTTGATTTACATATAACAATATAAGCTTGAAAATGAATTATCGAGAATATGTGTTCGCCTACACTGACGCTACACCTAACACATCTACTGACTCTTGGGGTTTGCCTCTTGATCCCTCAACTGAAATCGAATCCTTCAGTTATCAAACTCAAGTTTGCTACGTCCTAACTTCTCAAAATACCAACATGCGAAGGGAGTGGTACTGTTAGAGCGTTTAAAGCGCGTCAGCGAATGCAACCACGTCCACGGATGAAACCGAAGATACGAGCGACGATGGCCACCATGGATGTCTATCATCGTTTAGAGTCTGCATTACCCTGCCAGTTAACATACGCCATCGGCACATAGGTTTCCTGGCCTCATTCGGCGGATGGCTGAACGAATTACGCGCTTGTCTTACAATCCGGTGGTCACCAATCCGAATCCTTGTAGGTGTAGGCGACCTCAAGGTATACTTACCCTGCGCGCGATTGGTGACGTTGTAGCGTCGGTGCGATGTGCCGGCATACTTCTGATGTCTGTTTCTCAAGGATCAACTCGTCATCAACTCTTCCTTGTATTTGTGATTACCGCGGCCTCAACACAACAGGAGCATCGTTTTGCTCTTTTTCAGTGATTATCGACACTGTTTATGAACGGCATGTACTTCGTGCTAGGATACTGAACAGGGGGTCATCGCAGTTGACATATGATTCCATTCTATCTACTGTTGTGTTAGCGTCACAGACGGAATCGATGCCATCGAAAATTCACACTTAGCTATTCTAGCCTTTTTCTTTTTCGTGTCGGTCTTTACACTTTCAACACTAACTCAGCATGTTCGTAACACTAGGGGTTAATGTGCGTATACCGCAATGCTGTGTGAAATGCCGATAATCATCTGACGGTCTCGTTATTATGAGCAAGTCATTTCGGTCAACTGATTCCGTAAGCTTGCTTTTCCTCGGAAGGCGGACGTGTTTGTTCTGCCCTTACAATTAACCAAAATACAGGTACGAATTTCAATTACTGATTCTCGATCTCACTCTTTCTCTTTTCCTACCTGCTCTGTTTGGCCACATTTAAGTCTCTCAACGGCTTGGTTCTGCCAAATCAGAAAACTTTACAAAAGCTGATCGAAAGCTCTTTGGATCTGGATGTTGCCAACGCACAGCTGCAGCAAACCGGGCACCTCAGTTTGGAGACATACGCCATACAAGTGATCAACCTGATGCGGCAATTTTGCGCCCCTGTACGTGACAAAGAAGTGGAGGATCTGCGCAAAATAGACGACCCAGTGGAAGCGTTCAGGTGAGCTCACACGTTCGCGCCATTCCTTCCTCAGAATAATGAACCGTCTTAGTGGTTTGCACTTGTCAATTCTGTTTTTGAATTGTGCGGTTTTTTAATCCTCTGTTTCGCTGTGCATGCGGCAGCATGCGATTAGAAGTATTCGCATATACGATAATAGTGCAATTCCGGCTATTGACACTAGAACAGCCGTCTTGATTTTGGTGAACTATTCACACATGCATCGCATTTGTTTTGTGATTACTTACTCTTGACTTTGCCTTAAATTCCTCTTATTCACTTCTATCAATCAACCATGGGAATGGCCGAAATAGGTTTCAAATCATAAGGAACAGATCTACTTGTGGTTACCGTTCAAGGAGGACGGGATAGTGGAATCTACATTTAGAAGGCTTTCGATGGCCATTAGTTAAATCTGCTACGCGGCCAGGTTAAGGCCAATCCCCATTCAAAATCAATTCGGAATCATAGACTTAGGGACAGGATTTTAAGGTCAAGCACTTCTTTCTCTGTATGCTCTTACCTATATGCGCATACGAACTTCGTCCAGGCACTCATTCTATGCTGATGTAGGGTGTGGATGGACAACACTACACACAAATACCCCTACACCGTTTTGGGAATAATCACTTCGTTTGTTCACTAAGACAATCTAGACCTGTACTCTTCTCTGTTAGTCACATTTTTCTCATTCATTCATGGTGTATTAGCCTGATGAGGAACCACTGAAGATGAGATTGTTCGCTATCACTTGTTTCTACTTTACAACAGATGGACATAATTAAAAACTTCGTAGGTGGCTCGTCAGATAAACACTGTGCATCCGGAAAGCACAGAACAGCCGTTTTATTTCTTCCGGAATCGCCAGCAGCGTGCATTCCATTTGTTCTCTAAGGGATTTGAACTCGTGATCCGGCGCATGCGCGTCCGTCGTTAAGATGCCTGAGCCACGCTGCATAAGCGGCATTCACACAATCGGTGAAGCCTTTAAGTCTGCCGTTGCCTTTATCGCCGGACATCATCTTTTTACATTCTCTACAGTAGATATATCAGTTTTGCATGGATAAGCTGTCAGATATTTAGTTCAATCAACTTCCAAGTTTACTTAGGCCAATATACTCTATCCACCCTTTGCATATAAACGTCTAGATTTCGCGCACCATCCCCCACCCGTCTTGTCTTTGAACACCAAATGTTACGTCAACTGAAGCGAATTATTAAGTATGGTTTCAACGGAAACTGTTTCCCTTTTTGAATGGGGATGCACAAATCCCGAGGATTTAGTTCAACATTAAGGGGGGATCGTGTTGCTCGCTAGAGCGGTATGGCAGTGCTTCACTCTTCTCAGTTATCTTCCCAATTTGTTGGAAACTGTGGCATTTTTGATGGTACCCGTTTGATGATATATGCACAGTTGTTAATGTAAAACGTTGAAAATGCACTCATTTGGGTACATAAAGCTTACAATGATTTGACTTGACTACCCACAATGGCGCGTGTTCTCATTCGTCGTTGCCATTCTTTCTTATAACTCTATCAGGCGATGGCCGACTAACAAGGGAAGTCATAACATACCGGGCGAATTTTAACTTCTACACCTGGTAAACGTACATGGCAACGCGGATTGAGTATATGCGCTTGATCGTATTTATTTGCTAAGTCACAGCGGCCGCCATCACTCATCCCCCGTGGTCCAACCGTCTTAACCACGGACTCGTAAGAGGAGCGTTTTGGCTGCTAGCCCAGCAAGAGTCAGATGGAATGCACGCTACCGGCGATTCTCGAAAGCTGAAACGGCCGTACAGTGCTTTCCTTAATTTTCAATAGCTATTTAGCGGAGTCTAATCCACATATTACCCTTCACTACTTTATAAAAATGAAATCGTCAAATGAAAGTAAAATCTACGAAGTCGACCACCTCTGTATCCTGACCTCTTGTTTAACTTGATCGTTTTACCGTCGCTTGTACCTACACCGTGTGAGCTTTTTGAAACCAGACCTCCGTATATTGACGACCTCTGTGAGTTGTATGTTTGCCGCTTTCGTCATAACAGTCTTTAGTAAGCTAACTTTCGGCCGCCGTTTTGGGCGCTCCCGGGTTTGGGAGTAGGAGGACCACGATCAACTCCAGCTGGAAACACCTTCGTGTTCATAGTCAGAAACCACACACGATGGCCAACATGAGAGAGTGCCCCTCTGAGTATATTTCTTCCCTTCGTCTTTTTGGCTTCATGGAAATGTCATGGGTGAGTGTGGTATTCGGATATGCAATCTCTTCAGTGCACGAATACTCCAATTCGTGAACGATAACGACCGCCCTGGTTCAAAAACTGACCTGAGCGACCGCATCCATTCTGCACTCTTCGCTCCGAAGACCCCGCAAAAACAATGCTACTGCCAAACAGCCGAATGGCGTTCGAACCACATAGAGTAACAATTCATCATCATCATTATACACCTCAGCTAGAGGTGGGAAAACACCTCCGCTATTGTGCCGCAATACATGAAGGAAATACATACATACATACATATAATACAATACACAAAGGAAAAATAGATACAACAGTTGCATGCCGGTTGAGCTACCAGCAACTGATAGGCATCGTTCTGGTAAGCTTCCAGCCAGCTACTAGGCAAAAAGAAAAAAATTTATTATGTTTTACCCTACGAAATGAGATCGTAGATGGAGGGGGAGGCTAAAAGGGATGGGGAGGAACAAAGAAACTCCCAACACAAACGCCACTGAGGTCGGCTCCTTGCCATGTCAGCAAGTGTATCCAGCCAAACGTGTTCACCGTCTTTTGGACCCCAACCAGGGAGCCGTGAAGCTCCAACCGAGGCTAGCTCCGAAGTGAGGGACTTCATTCCCCTGGACCAAGTCATCGCTTGGCCACCTCTCCTCTTCTTCCACCCACATCCCCAGTGAGCAAACAACGCACGTCGCGGGAGTCGGTGGGCTGGCAAGCGTAACACGTGGCCAAGCCATCGGAGCCTGGTGCGTGAAATGACGGTGCTGAGCGGTTCAGATCCTTTTCCTGGGCCGTAAACCATGCGTCGAACACGCTCGTTACTCACGCGGTGTTCCCACCATATGTGAGCCAAACTGCGAAGGCAAGAGTAACAATTAAAAACGGATCAATGTACAGTTGTTCGGTAACTGTAAGTATCAAAGCGTTGGTGAACGTCGATAAATCAATCAGAAGCAGTCTGTTTGAAGCAAATGGCCTAGACTGGGAAATTCCAAAGTGCAAAATATGCGATGAATGTTTTTGCTAAAATGTCGATGGTTGTGTCATTTCCGCACGACTGATTTCCCTGTGTGTCTGGGTGTCCACTTGGTGAACACGCACATTTTGCAATGGGCAAAACCAATGAGTAGCCACTCACAACACATGCGATGCGTGGATTGGTGCATTATCATCATCATCATCATCATCATCATCATCATCATCATCATCATCATCATCATCATCATCATCATCATCATCATCATCATCATCATCATCATCATCATCATCATCATCATCATCATCAATACACGTTAGCTGACGGTGATGAACACACCTCAGCTAATGTGCTGCAATACAAAAAGATAAGAGATTACTGAGTACAGATTACAAAAGCTAAAAAAGGCAACATAATTCTAAAACTTACACTATGCATTGAGTTTGAGATCGTTGTTAAATGGGAGGCTAAATGCGCGGGGCAAGGACGAGGAAACTCACAACACAAACGTCATTGAGGTTGGCTCTTCGCCATGTCAGCCAGTAATGTATCCAACCAAACGTGTTCATTGTCCGGACCCCAGCCCAACAGTCGGAAAGCATCAACTGACGCCACGTTCTAAGTGAGAGACTTCATTCCTCTTGATCAAGTCATCACTTGGCCTCCTCTCGCGTGTGAGTCAATAAGCGATTACTGAACCAAGATGGGGCAGGGCCAAGAATTGGACGGTTGAAAACTGGGGGGGGGGGAGGGGATAAAAGTGAAGTTGGAACGGGACGATAAGGGTGAAACAGCGTAAGAGGGCGAATAAAAAGACAGGAAGGCTTGAGCAGTAGCATCCAAACTCCTATCCACTGTGCTCGATGCAGCAGATAGGGCGCCATTGATAATCGTCTGTGACTGCCAGATCATAAATAAAGTGTTTTTGGAGGAGTTACATGAAAATGGTACTGTCATGTTGCCCAGACCTAGACAGCGGAATAATTGGCTTCCACAACCAATGTCTTTGGTTCAAAAATTTAGCCCTCAAGCCTGTAGGGTTTTTGGCACTAGACGATACGGAGTCCGTTTTATGAAGTGAGGAGTCACTCACTACAAATCCCTAACGTAGAGGGCTAGGAAACTGCTTTTGTCTGGCCTCTAACTACTGATCAATCCGGTATGAGTGGCTCTGAGGGTGCAAAAGCACTATTCAATATAGCCCAGTGAATCGTTGAGGCACACAAACCATGGAACCGTGATAATGGTCTAGTCTTATCGCGATGGGCATGGGTGGATAGTTCACTAATATCACCTTAGTCGCTCCCCTGCTAGTAGCCGGATTACTCAGTCATCGTGTATATGAGTACCTCCAATCGCTTTGTGCCTCGTGAATATTGCCATAAATTAACCGGGAGTGCAACCATCATAGAGGAATCAGTCTGATCCCCATTGCCTCTAAGTTACTTGCTCCTGTCAATCTTCATAGGTTGACTGGCACCACTGAAAGCCAGATTCGTGAAGAGGAAACTACGTTTCGTCGAAATTGAAGCTGCATTGACCACATCTTCACTTACCCACAATTGTTGCAGCACCGCCACTTATTTCGGTAACCTACCGTACTGGTGTTCCTCGACCTCGAAGGTGCTTTTCATTCGCTTTGTCGATGTGCCTTTTGGGACTGCATGATCATGAAAGGTGTGTCCGCGAAATATGTACTGCCAGGACGCTTTATGCGTGTTGTTCGGGCAGAACGACGGGTGTATGGCCGACTCACCGCCCTTCAATATCTTCAG